ACTGAGATGGTCTCTTTTGAGGATGTTTCCCCCTCCCAAATCCAGATGATCCCTCTAGACCCTTTGCCACTCTATTTCCTCCTTCAAATCTCTCAACTGTTTTTGCCTTTTCAACTAGAACTGGGAACTCCATAATTTCCATAGGGACAATAGTCTTTTTCAGCTCAAATCTTAGACCCTCACTAAACTTCCTGCATCTCCAGGCTTCAGTGATAGCTTGAGAATAATACCTAGCCAAGTGTTCAAACTTGACCACATACTCTTGTACTGACATATTTCCTTGTTGCAATCTCAAAAATTCAGCTTCCTTAGCATATCTGGCGCTATCTGGAAAATATTTCTCTAGGAATACCTTTTTGAAATTTTCCCAATTTATCACCTCCCCTCTAGCTTCCATCATAGCTTGAGCACCTTTCCACCAGAAACTAGCCTCACCCACCAACATATAAACAGCATAAACTAGCTTCCTTTCCTCAGGACAATGCATCACCATAAAGATTTTCTCCATCTCCTCAATCCATTGATCAGCAACTTCAGGTCCATTAACACCTGTAAATTGAGGAGGATTCCCTTTTCTGAACTCTGACAAGCCCCTATATTCATCAGGTACTTCAGTCCTAGCTGCTTCAGCTGCAGCCCGGTTGGTCTCCATCTGAGCCAACAAAGTATTCTGTTGTCCAATAGCAGCAGCAATTAGCTCCATAGCCTGAGCAATCTGCCGCTCATCTACACCTGAAGAAGGATGAGAATGGTTTCCCCTACCAACCATCCTAATAAAGATAAAAGATCAAGGAACCCATGAGTTTACACTAAAACACATAAGAAATTCCTTTCAAAAAAAAATATTTCCACTCAACAGAAACATAATAAGACCATTTCCCACAAACCCTAAAGAGACTCGACCAGCTCTGATACCAAAATTGTAACGACCCACCCTAGGCCGTCACATCAATAACCAACCAAAATAAAATATTTAAAATAAAGAAAATAGAGCAAAAGCCAGCTACGCTAGAGTGTAATTATACAATAACATATAAATTGTTTCCAAAATATATAATATAATCTGCTATAGCAGAGTCATCATCCTTAGTAAAGTTATACAGTAATCCAAAAGATAATATAATATAGACACCCTAGGTGCTGGTCAAGCTCTAAACCTTGCTACTACTCAAAGCAGCTATCAGAAGACTTCTTGCTATCCCAAGCCTCACACCTGATCTGCTCCCCCACAAAGTGAGATCATCACAGTCCAAACCACATGGAAAAAATGCAAGGGTTAGCACATATAAAACCAACCATAGTACATGATAAAATATCATTAAACAGATATTTATCCATAATATATATATATCCGCACCAAGGAAATAAACCTTATAAATAGTTATTTCCATGCCAAATATAAATCAAATCTAAAATCCAATGCATACAATCCACACCATTTGTATACATATTCCACATCCAGAAACAAAGTCACACCACTGTATAATTATTCCATGATCTCACACCAACATATCCTCACAATGTTGGCCTCAACACCATCCACCAAGTGTTGACACGCACGCTGAAACATATCAGCAACCCAGGAATCACACCTGACCTCTCATGGAAATATACAGCTGGAATTACGTCGTCACGTAACCCTGGTGATCATGGCCACTTCATCCATCGGTATGACTCGGCCTGGCCCCCATACCGGTAGCAAATAGAATACTTAAAGGAGTACTTCAGAATCCACCTAACATCTGAAGTGGTTTATCATATAACCTTTGGAAAAGTTCCACATTGGAATCCTCACCATGGGATTCCCAATTTCATATTTTTCCAAAGATTATATCCTGATCTCACCAAGAGATCTAATCCATACCATAACCTTACTCCTTTAAGTCCTATTTACTTTTCCAAACCACATACACAGCATATTCCATAATTAAACATAACCATAACCATGCCAATTTGTCAATATAATAATAATATAAATATCCAAAACAACCATCAATTGATCCAAATTATACTATATGAAATGAAAATCTCCACATAAAATAGCATATTAAAATTATACTATTCCTATCATGGTCATACGCACTAGATTAATTTTATAAGCACTACCCTTACTTAGCATACTAGATTAATTTTATAAATGCCACCCTTACTTGTATAAACCTGAACTGAAACTCGGGCAGAACCTCCACCTCTCTCCTTAAACAAGAACCGAAACTCGGGCAGAATCTCCTCTACTGGATTCTTCTTTCTTCCTCTCCTCTTTCCTCTCTCTTTCTCCCTTTCTCTCTCTAGTAATTTTCTCTCTCAAGGCATACATTTCCAACACCCCAAGGCCCCTATTTATAGCAAATTTTCGCCACCTAACCAGAACGGCCCGTTCCGAAAACGGAACGCCCGTTCTGAACCCTTCAGAACAACGTAAAATTTTCGACTGGAACGGCCCCGGAACGGCCCGTTTCGAAATCCAGCAGAACGGCCCGTTCTCCTTTCGGAACGGCCCGTTCTGCAAGGAGAACGCCCCGTTCTCCAAGCAGAACGGCCCGTTCTGCAAGGGGAACGCCCCGTTCTCCAAGCAGAACGGCCCGTTCTCCAAAGGAGAACGGCCCGTTCCGGTCCTGTTCTGCACAAACACAGAACACACATTTTTATCTTTTGGAACGGCCCGTTCCGCTTTTGGAACAGCCCGTTCCAAAATCCGAAAATGCCCCAAAAATTTTAATAAAATTACGAAAATGCCACCGATAATTACTAAAATGCCATCCAATAATAAGATTACAAAAATACCCCTATACCTTTGAAAATTTACGAAAATGCCATAATAATAAAATGGGTATTACAGTAACATGTCATATGACAAGGTGCAAATGGTGTGACTGGATATCATCATCCTAAATCTAAAAGAGCAAATGAAAGTATATTATATGAAAATGTACTAAAAGTGTAACTAAGTATGATACATGTGACTTAATGGAGTTTAAATAGTATATGAGAACTTTTAGTCCACAAAATGGACATCCACCATGAGGCTTCCATTGTCTCTTTTCACTTTCTCATGGGTCATTCAAGTCCAATAAGTACAAATTTCATTTTCTAGTTACACCTCCTCTAAAATATTAATTACATCCTAAAAAAAATCACAAGAAAATAAATTTTTATACTAATTGATCCAAAAATATAAAGTTAAAAATTAGAAAATATTTATAAAAAAATATATGCAAATAAAAAAATTTACTAAAAATAACTCAAAGATGAATAAGAACTCGAGTATTTTTTTTCTTTAAACCTAATCTACTCTTGTAGATTTCTTTTGAGTTTTAGTCCTTGATACATTACTCATGATTGCAATACCAAGCTTAAGGAAAAAAAATGAAACTAATATAATATTATTAATACGTTTATATTTAAGTAATATAATCAATTATTAATATAAAATTAATTATCTTTTAACATAATCTAACTAAGACAATTGATTATAAATCAAATCAATTTAAATTAAAACAGATAATATATATATATATATATATATATATATTTTCAATAACGAGAAAGAAAATCAATTTAATTTAATTTAATTTTTTTTACATATTTATTTCTTATCGGAACAGATTTCTGTACTAGACAATTCACAATGTTTTAACTTACAATATTTATATTAAAAATTTAATTAAAATACATTTTTGTCATTTAAATATAACAATCATTATTATTTTAATATTTATTGTATTATATTGGGTAAATATATCGATATATTAATTTAACCAGTGTTGTATGTATCTAATACATTAATATATTACTATAGTATTATTTTAATCAAAGATTTTGGGCTAGCCATCTTATCTTTTGAGGTGCCTCCAACATAGTGAGGAGATTAGTCACTGTTATCGGCAGTGGATATTTCAGAGACGAAAAAAAAAAAAATCTTAATCAAAGATAATAATTAAGTTTTTTATAATAATTTTTTTATTCAAATTAGTGAAATTGTCTAATAGGGGTGAGCAACGGGTGGGTTTGGTCGGGTTCGGGTGAAAAATGTCTAACCCATTGTAAACTGACTTTGAAAAAATGTGACCCATATCCGACCAACTGAGCTTTCGATTTGAGGCGGTTTGGATTGAAACGGATTCGGATTTAAGCGGGTGGGTATAATCGGGTTTGAATTTTTTTGTAAGCCAATTTATCTTAAGGAAGATGAAGCTTAAAACGATAAAAAATATTTTTAAAATAGTGTATAAAAGTAGAATGAAGGTGACAATAGATGGTGTAAGTAGATTCGTAGTTGAAACATTTACAAACTAAAGAAGCAAAAATAAAAGATAACAAAATTCATAGTTGTTACATGGAAAAGAAATATAAAGTTAGATTACAAAATCATAAGAAATCACAGTCACACAAAATGTACTCAAAATGGAGATAAGAAGATGGAAAAGAAAGACAAAGAAAGAAGCAAAAAGATAACTCTAAAAATGGACTAGTGTGTTGAGAAGTTGAATGAGGAAGGAGAAGACAAAATAAATATCTAAGTTATGAGAAAAAGGAAAAAAATAAGTTACAAATTGATGACTATATTATACTTGAAATAAAGACTTTTAAGTTTGGACCATTGTTGTTTAGTTATACAAAAGTAATAAAAATTTAAACTTATCTCATTTTCGGTTGGGTTCGATTTTTGGCGGGTTTAAAAATTCAAAACCGAACCCGCCCAATATAACCCGTATAAAATCAAAATTTTAACCCGATTTACCCATAAGACCCGCCCGAACCCACCCAAAAACAATATTTTTTATCGGGTTTTTCGGGTTCGGTTCGGGTGTCGGTTTAATGCTCACCCCTATTGTCTAATACAGTTAAATAATTTAAAAAAGCAACCATTTTACTTTAAATACAACGAGGAGTTCCTGTCACATTCACGAAACTAGACGGATTCTGGGAAAGGAAAGTAAGGCATATCCTCCATGGCGCGAGAGCAAACAAAAAAAAAAATGAGAAAAAAAATTGGCCATTGATTCATGTTAGGATAAATCCAACGGTCTTTAACCGTTCACCTACAAAAGAAAAAAGAAAAAGAAAGAGAAAAACTGTCTTCTCATTCATTCGCTATCGGAATAGGTGGGAAGCAAAGTCAGGGTTTGTCAAACCCAGCGACCCACGAACATGGAGTACCACAACAGACTCGTTCTCGCTCCAATGGTTCGCGTTGTGAGTTTAACTTCCTTCTCTCTAAACACCTCTTTGTGTTCTTCCAAACCAAAACGACGCTGCACTCGAATCATTGTCACCACTTTTCTGTTTGTAACCTTGTTTTCTAGGGCACTCTCCCATTGAGATTACTAGCTGCTCAATATGGTGCCGATATCACTTACGGTGAGGAAATCATTGACCATAAGATGCTCAAGTGCTACCGCCGAATCAACGGTACACAACTTCTCTTTGATTGCTTCCTTCTATCTTTCAATTCAGTTCAACCTATGTTAGATAAATTATGTGGTTTTTCTTGTTTTCTTCATTCTTTGTTAGAGCTTATTGGATCCACTGATTTTGTGGAGAAGGGGACAGAAAGTGTTGTGTTTAGAACCTGCGATGAGGAAAAAGATAGGGTTGTATTTCAAATTGGCACATCGGATGCTGTCAGGGCCCTAGCTGCTGCTCAGTTGGTGTAAGTTAATTGTGTGTTCTCGTGCCCCTCTTTACACTGAAGTTGATATATGCTTTAGCTTTTAGTTTGTTAAATGAAATACTTGTGCATTGTTTGTCAGCTGTATTATTTTGGGCCACTTACACTTTTTTTCTCCGAAGTTTCACAATTTCACAAATTTTGTCTCCAAAGGTTGTTTTTTCCCTCCAAATTTTGTCTCCTAATTTACTAAATATTGGAAATCTTGTCCCCAGTAGAAAAAATGCTATAATTAAGAAAATTTTGTGGTGGCTTTTCTTTTAATTCGTCACAGTTAAGACAATTTTGTGACAATATTTCCTTTAAACTGCCACAGTTTTTATTTGGGGGCAAATTTCTGAAAATAATAAAATCTTTGGAGAAAAAATTCATGAGATTGTGAAATTTTGAAGGCAAATTTTGCAATTAAGCCTACTATTTTTCATGTGGTTGGTTTCTCGTTGGGATCAGTTATGTCATGTAGAAAATAACCCTGCCCAGTGAGATGTGGCTTGGTCGATATTGTTGTTGGCTCTTTATGACTTTTTATTGATCTTAGTATATTTAAGACTGAAAATTTGTTTACATATAGATTAAAAGTGCTGCAATCTTAGTCATAATCATCATTGGCTGGAAGATCTTTTCCTCTTCCAATTATAAGTATATCCCCATGGAGTTGTTATAGATTTCTATGATGAAGTATGTATGTTTTTTTATGTGGACCAAAGTTGCTATGCAGGATCATTCCATGTAGCTTTTCTGACATTGAACAAGCAATTTGTTTAAGTGTTTGTTTTGTTTTTCTTTTCCTATGTTTATATGTTTGGGCTGCAGGTGTAATGATGTTGCTGCAATAGATATTAACATGGGTTGCCCGAAGTCATTTTCTGTGAGCGGTGGGATGGGTTCTGCTCTATTGTCCAAACCTGATCTTATTCATGATGTAAGTCTAGATCATAACCTGTTGCATTTCTGATTGTGCTTTCTGAAATGTGTTTGAATCCTTCCTCTTTTAAAGTCCAGATCTTAACAACATTAAGGAGGAATTTGAACACACCAGTAACATGTAAGATTCGACTTCTAAAATCACCACATGATACAGTGGAATTAGCCAGAAGAATTGAGAAAACTGGTGTTTCTGCTCTTGCAGTCCATGGAAGGTAATCTCCAAATATTGTCACTTTTTCCTGCACCTTTTTTTCTCTGGTGTGAACTAATATGGTTGTTTTGCTTTCATAAGGGAGTCAATCTAATAACAATCAACCTACTGGATGATTATATAGATAATTATTTCCATTAGGATCTATCTTCTATCATCGGTCCATCTTATAAAGATTTGCTCATTTGCACAAGCTTTATGTTGTGCACTGACTGTTACACAATTTTCCTCTTTTATCTGGGTTTGGGATGATATACATTGTTTGATAAAAGGCACAACAAAGGCATCTTTAACTGTTTTCAAATTAATCAAAGCAGGGTACCATGATGATATGTTATTCCAGTTGGGATAGGTAAAATTTTCAAACAATTAGGATATGGATAACAAACTATCAAGACATGTTTTTGTTGGAGGATCTTCAAAGTATCTTACAGGGAGAGAATACTACATCAAAAACCTTATTCTGCTAAGTGAGGTCAGCTACATGGATTACACAATTTCATTAGGCTTAGTTAATCCTCATAGATCTTATTCATCATGTGATTCCTCTTAAAACCTTCCTTCAATGTTCTTCTTGGTCCGTTTTACACGACTAAAAACCATGCAATCTACCCTTCTCATTGGTGCTTATTGTGACCTTCTATACATATCCAAATTACCTTTATTGATTTTCTTTCATATTTTCTTCTATATCAGTGCCAATATCTTCACATATGCAATTGCAATTATTCATATTCTGTTATTTCTTGTGTGGTAACAAATCCATTTTAACATTCGCATTTCTAATACTCCCACCTTTTTCTGTTATTTCTTTAAAGTCCAACATTTTCACTACTATAAATATTTGGACGTGTAACAATACAATAAAATTTCCTTTGAACTTGGTAGGTACTTTGCAATCACCAACAACCCTCAATAACATTTTAGATTTTAATAATTCGGCTTGTGTCTTATGTGTAACATTTGCAAATTTCCCCAACATGGATCACTAACAAATCTTAAAGGGAGAGAATGATCATAACAAATTATGATGATTTTACTTTTTTATTTATAATTTATGCTATCTTGGGGATAATTGTGTCAGCTTATTGTTAGGGATCTTACCTTCGTATGAAACTTTTACTTTTTGGATTTTATCTTAATTTTATACTTACCCTAATTCTTAGTATTATATTTTTGTATTACATTTTATAAATAGGGGTTAGTGCTTTATCGTTTTGTTGACCCTCTTTTTGCTAGTCTTTCCATATTTTTTGCTTTTCATTAATAGACTCAAGAGCCTGTTTTTAGCTAAAACTAGCCCAAGATTCCTGAAACATATATCGAGTACAAAAGATATCACATGTGCAACTCAGGGCTTATTTATCATTTTTTAAAATTTGATGGTTAAGCAAATAAAAGTAATGTACACATTCGTTTACAAGCACACGTACCTCTAAAGCAATACAGAGTTGGATCACAAATATGACTACTCTTTCATCTTTGTTGCATTAAAATATGTTGTTGGGAGTTAGGAGAAGGAAGGGGAAGTTAGTTAAAACAGTTAGGATATTAGTTAGTTAGTTAGAAGGGGTCAGTGATATAAATAAATAAGGGGTGCAGGTGAAGAAGAGATTCATTCTATCTTGTATCCATTGAGAGAACTGAGCTTTAGCTTTGTGAAAGGATAGATCCTTTGGGAAGGGAAAACCCTTGGAGGAGAAGGAGAATTCTTTCTTCAATTTTATTCAATCACTAAAAACAGTCCGAGTTCTTAACAGATGCTCACTTTTTCCCTTTTTGATCTATTTACAGAAAAGTCCCAGATAGGCCCAGAGATCCTGCTAAGTGGAATGAAATCGCTGATGTTGTGTCAGCATTATCTATTCCAGTTATAGCAAATGGCGATGTTTTTGAGTATGATGATTTTGAACGCATTAAATCTGCTACAGGTAGCTGAAAAGAATTCTCCTAGTCTTCAACTGATTTTTCTGTTATGTTTTGTTAGAATTGTAGATTGTAGATAGTGTGCAGTGAAACAAACTTTAGACCTGAGTTTCCTTGTCTGTACTTATTTATGTTGGAAGCTAATCCTTTTCTTTGTTAATTAGTTTTCTACAAGCTGCAATAAACAGCTGAAAAGATGCAATTCTTTCTCTTGGAAATTTAGGAGATGAACTAAAACTAACTAATTTATTTCTGTCAGTGATCATAGACTGCATACTCCTTGTATCCTAATCCTAAGGCCTTAATATTCCCTTCGATTCTGCACAAATGATTGAGTGTGCTCCTAAGCTATGCCTTCCCAACTGTTGCCTTGGATCAAGTGTCAACATCATACTATTGGTAATAGTTTATTATGAACCTTCGTGTAGGATTGAGTCATTGGCTTTGGCTTTAGACCTTAGACATGAGAGATTCCTTCTTACTACCTATAGTGAAAGTTAGAAGCAAACTCGTCCATGCCAGAGCCCCTCCTAGACTAATACAGATTTTTCATAGATAGTTTCTTCCTTCCACCAATCCAAGTCTGCCTTTTGGCCACAAATAAGAAAAGGATCTGAATTTATAAGATCATAACTAAGAATTACCAACAATTATCCTAATAAAAATCAAAAGTAGAACTTACAAAGATTTTGTTATGCAAAATCATATCTAGACAAAAACTTAAAAAAAAATTCAAAATTTAAATGAAGATAATGTAATCTTAATTATCTAAAATAATCCTAATCAACTAAAAAAAGATGTTTTTTCCTCTGCTGATATTGTTTCCCCCTCAAATTCATCCTTATTATCATTGCATTACCATTTCTTGTAACTTGAACTTACCCCTCTCGGAGAGAGCTTCATGTGACAAAACATTGACTAGAAATTAGGGGAAGAAATTTCATAATGTGGAGATGGATCATTGACCTCATTTGTGGGAAATAAAAATTCCCAATAAGGCAGCCTGTAGAAGCTTCTAAAGAACAAAGGCTACAGAAGTAACCATAAAGGAATTGAACTAATATTTGTAGAACTTTCTGATCATCCTTGTGCCATTGTGTATAAGAAATCCTGAATTCTTAGAGGAGGAATGGAAGTGGGGGGGTTGTCAACTATTTGATGTAGCTTACTAGGGTATATGAGGCTGCTTGGTGGATGTCTCAGGCCCACAAAATAACTTACCATTTACATAGAAATCAGATTCTAAGAGAGTTAGGCTAAGCATTTGAACTGATTGTCATATAAGAGGAAAGTTATTGGTTTTTATCATGTTGGGAATTTATTTTTGATCTTGATGATTGCTTTTGTACCAAATATGCAATAAGCCAATAACATTTGTACTTTTCCCCCTTGTCATGATAGACTAGCTAAGTAGCTATTCATTTTTCATATTTAATATCTAATTGACACTGGTTTGACATAAGGTGCCTCATCAGTGATGGTTGCCAGAGGGGCACTCTGGAATGCTTCAATATTTTCACCTGAAGGCAAAGTTCCTTACGAAGCTGTGAAAAGAGAATATATTAGGAAGGTGAGGGGCTGCTTGGTATATATCCATTTTCCATTTTCATTTTGAGTGAAAATGAAAAATAGTGGTAAAAATGTGCTTGTTTAGATTTTAGAAAATATTTTCTAGGAAGCATTTCTAAAATAAAGGCCAAAATTGAAAGAAAGAAAAGTTGTTTTTTGTATTTACCGACAAAATGAAAATGTTGTGCATAAACCATAATTATAAAACAGTTTCTTTCTTTCCTTTTGAATCTCATCATTCCATCGTCTCTTGACTGTTTAAACATGTTGCTTTATTATGATTCTTTTTTATTGCTAAACATGTAAAATGGGTTTTAAGTGCATAAACATATAAAGGTCTTCTATGTATTTTCTATCACTTATTAATTAATAAATATAGGTCGATAAATTATATATATTAATATATGTGTATATAAAATTAACACATCAATATAAATACATTTTAATTATTAAAAATTGTTTGTAAATATATAATAAAAAACATTTCATGTTTTTCTAATAGTTAAACCAAACATATCTTTAGTTTTTTCATTTTTTGAAAATAGAAAAAAATTTCTCAAAATAAATGTTTTCTAAATCTTATAAATTTGAAAATGAAAGCTATTTTTAGAAAATAGAAAATGTTTTCTTCAACCAAACATGCCATAATTTTTTTAGTTGTTGTTTATTACTATACATTTTACGACCTTTTATTTTTATTTTTTTTACCTTGAGATGAGTGACAATCATATGAAAATGCAGTTTCTAAATCCAGATTCTATTTCCAATACTTGTATTGGTGGAGGTCATTGGGCTTCTGGATATCTGGGACTCATGGAACTAATTACTAATGTTACTGTTTTCTACTTTTGATATCAGTGCATCTTGTGGGATAATGATTTGAAAAGCACCAAACAGACAATAAAGGAAATGATAATGCATTATTCTTGCCTAGAACTGCCTGAAGGGAAGGCTGTGAACAAATCAGAGTCAATGGCTGATCTAGCGTAAGTTTTTTTTTTTTTTTTTTTTTTTCCTC